GAGGTATCTTAATGTTAATAAGGTGTGATGCAAAAGATGTGATAAGGTAATGTTGTTAAGGATTTTAAGGTATGTACTATGGGTAACAAGGTAATGATGCTGAGAAGATGAAGTAATTGTGCTGAAGACAGGTATGTGCTGTAGATAGCAAGGTAATGGTACTGAACATAAGGTATGTGCTGTAGATAGCAAGGTAATAGTACTAAACATAAGGTATGTGCTGTAGATAGCAAGGTAATAGTACTGAACATAAGGTTTGTGTTGTGGATAGCAAGGTAATGGTACTGAACATAAGGTATGTGTTGTAGATAGCAAGGTAATAGTACTGAACATAAGGTATGTGTTGTAGATAGCAAGGTAATAGTACTGAACATAAGGTATGTGTTGTAGATAGCAAGGTAATAGAACTGAACATAAGGTATGTGTTGTAGATAGCAAGGTAATAGAACTGAACATAAGGTTTGTGTTGTAGATAGCAAGGTAATAGCACTGAAGACACGGTATGTAGTATATGTAAGAATCTGCATGTTGTGCATAAGAGTTTTCATGTTCAAGATAAGAAGATGAGAATATATTGACTTTGTTGTTGTTGTTGTTGTTGTTGTTGTTGTACTAGCTACAAATCAGGTCTTGATAAGATATGACTGAGCTACTATATAACAGTAGCCGGTGCTACTTGTCTTCCGTTAATGTGGAATGTTGGGCATCGTATACCAAACCTGACATCCCACATTGTGCCAACAGCTTCAGGCAGAGGAGCCCATTGGGGAGGATACTAGCCTTATTTTGGGAAGAGGTAATGCAACCTCAAAACTTTCGGTTATGGCAGGGCAGACTAGGTCCTTAGCCTTGGCTGGCAGCTGGTCTAGGAGGGAAGCTCCGACAGGCACAAGAAGGAAATGTTGTAGATAGTGTATGGTTGTGCTCCACTTATACACTTGCTGTGTGGGCAGTTGTTTGCTGTCTGGTCCTATATCCTGTAGTTAAGACATCAACTGAAAATGTCCTTCTGCAGGGAAGAAGCTTTTTACAAGAGACTGTGGGAGAAGACCGGCTCATTCATCATTGAGAACGTCTACCTGCCTGCAGCCCAGGCCAGAGATATGGGGTAGGTAGATTGCTTGGCATATTATCTACAGCACAGGGGGAGTAGATGTAAGGAGGCCGTATCACACACAGGCACTCATGCTTATCTAGGTTTTATATGCTTTGTAGCCCAGCTCTCTAGCGTAGTTGGCTAAACTGGACTGCGCGGTGACCGGGTGACGAACTCCTTTTGGTCCGGGTTCACTCCTGGGGGTAGGCAGTAAAGCCATATTTTCTCCCAGATTTATGGTATCTATCATGTAATCAAGGCCGAAGGGTTGCGATATCTATAGTACCGAGCCAAAGGGTTTAGCAATTCATGGTTTCTGGATATTAAAAAAAAAATGCTTTGTAATGTGGGATGGAGGGGTAGACCATTTGGTTTATTTGTGTTGTGGTAATACTGGTAGATATATAAGATTTTGGGGTACATTGTGTGTATATTTACACAAGTGAGCTTAGGTGTAAAGTGTTGGAACCACACACAATATCACACATGCCAGACAGTGTTTTACACACACACACACACACAACACAGTATCATAAACACCAGTTTCACATGTCATATAGTAACACAGACAGTTTATTACAAACAACAGACAGTATCACACACATCAGACAGACGGTATCATAAACACCAGCTTCATTTATCATATAGTAACATAAACAGTGTATTATAAACAAGAGATAGTATCTTGCACATCAGACAGTATCACACCAGACAGTATTACAAACACCAGTTTCATAAATTATATATATATACACACACACACACACACACACACACACACACACACACACACATACATACATACATACATACATATATATATATATATATATATATATATATATATATATATATATATATATATATATATATATATATATATCACGTCAGACCGTATCACACAGATCATACACACCAGATAGTATCACACACATCAGTCAATATCACACACACATCAGACAGTATCACACAGATCATACACACCAGATAGTATCACACACATCAGTCAATATCACACACACATCAGACAGTATCACACAGATCATACACACCAGATAGTATCACACACATCAGTCAATATCACACACACATCAGACAGTATCACACAGATCATACACACCAGATAGTATCACACACATCAGTCAATATCACACACACATCAGACAGTATCACACAGATCATACACACCAGATAGTATCACACACATCAGTCAATATCACACACACATCAGACAGTATCACACAGATCATACACACCAGATAGTATCACATACATCAGTCAATATCACACACACATCAGACAGTATCACACAGATCATACACACCAGATAGTATCACACACATCAGTCAATATCACACACACATCAGACAGTATCACACAGAGCATACACACCAGATAGTATCACACACATCAGTCAATATCACACACACATCAGACAGTATCACACAGATCATACACACCAGATAGTATCACACACATCAGTCAATATCACACACACACCAGACAGTATCACACAGATCATACACACCAGATAGTATCACACACATCAGTCAATATCACACACACACCAGACAGTATCACACAGATCATACACACCAGATAGTATCACACACATCAGTCAATATCACACACACATCAGACAGTATCACACAGATCATACACACCAGATAGTATCACACACATCAGTCAATATCACACACACATCAGACAGTATCACACAGATCATACACACCAGATAGTATCACATCAGTCAATATCACACACACATCAGACAGTATCACATACACAACAGGACACCATCTTCCTAGGATCATAGAGTGAATGTTTGAACACTGACTGATGGCTTGTGTCCCTTCCAGCACTTTCAACACTACTGTAGATATCAAACTTCGCCAGTGGGCTGAGGTCCAGCTACCCAAGAAATGTGTGGAGGTATGTACGTGACCCTTGTATGTATGTGCACCTTGATTTATATGTATAGTAAATCATCATCGTCGTCGTCTTCATCCTGTTGTGCCATTATATATCACATAGGGCTCACAGTCTGTTCCTCCATTCTGTTCTATCCTGTACAGTCAAATATCATGGATTGAATCCAGTCCAGCAGCTTTGGCTTCAATCATCAACATTCATTTAAGGGTTTCCTGTAGCAAAAGAACTTCCCGACCCCCAACCCACTTTCTTTTGCATCCTGACTTGGGACCGGCATTGGTGGAAATATGTGGCACTTGCATTTTGTTAATCCCAGGGTGAGGATGAATTGAGTTCACATTTCCAGATGATTGGGATTTTTAAGAATGATAGAACTAGTACCTGCACTTTGCAAAATGCGTTCTTGTGTTTATATAACTTCTGGTCTAATCTCTACATGCCCTTAACCCTGATTCTGTTGTTCTCCTCCAGCAGTTTCTGCAGTTTGTTTTGTTCCAAATGCATTGGTGTTACCTTTTCTTTAGAGTTGACAAAGCAGGCAGAGAGAGGGGTTAGGCTGCATGGGAATCACCTGGTCTGTATAGAACTGCCCAGCCTTTGGGCTGTGAATAGTGGAAACTTCATTCCTGGGCTTAATTGGTATCACCATGGTTGGTTTCACCATGGTTGGTTTCACCATGGTTGGTTTCACCATGGTTGGTTTCACCATGGGTTGTCATTCGCATGCTCCCTGTGTGGGTTCCAGGGCCCCATTTTTGCCTGTTGTAAAAGTCAACAAATTGGATGTTTCCTTTGAAGTTGAAGTGCATCTGCCTGAGGGGCAAGGAACTAACAGATGCATACAAATAAGCCAGATCTGTAAAACAGATGTGCATGCAGAAGGCCATATTTTGGGGGAGGGGGGGGGAGGGTAGAGAAGAGACCCATTGCTCCCTAAAAAGCAGGTGTAAAAGGTGAAAAGTGTGGGGTATTTCCTTCTGGTCAGAGTGCATCTGGTGAGGAACCAATAGTCTGCATAAGCCAGATCTGTAAAATTGATGTGCATGCAACACTCAATTTCTAGGACTAGACTAAAGTTCAGAAGTGGATGAACAACCAGAACTTTCTGCTAGAGTTTACAGACATTGAACACGCAGAAAAAGACATCAGTCTCTTATCTCACATAATTAGTGGTGATTTAACCCTTTCTTTGCTATGGATGTAATTATTTGTTTGCTCCGTAGGTTGCTAAGAATGTCTTTCTTCATGTTCCGTTTTCCATTCCCTTACTGCTATGGACATAAAAACATGATTTCAACTTTACTTACGTACTGGGGGATAGAAAAGTATTCAGCACAGGGGAAAGGATCAGAGGCGAACTTGCTTAGCACAGTGGTAACAGCGGCTGTGGAATACGTAGCAGCGAAAGGGCTAAACAAATAATGAAATTCATATTTGCTTCTCCCCTGCATTCTATTCTGTTTAGAATGCAACCCTGGAAAGGAAATTTTTTTTTTATTTATGTTTATATGTTTGTGCGTCGGCTCTGTGGCTAAGTCGATGTGAACGCTTCATATGCCAGGGTGCCGGGTTTGATCCCAGCTGCGGGCCATGGGCCTTGCGTTGGTTTCGACAGTGGTATCAGGGGGCCGACCGTCCAGAAGCAATGGCAAACTACTGGACGTAAATTTGCCTAGAGAAACCACATGACAGCCAGGGGCTGCTGGGGTTGGTTCTGCAACGTCCTGTAAAGGATACGCAACTAACCTGTATGTGTTTGTGCACAGATTGGTTGGGACACCTTGCATGAAGAGTTCACACAGCTGCTGGGGTTGGTTATGCAACGTCCTGTAAAGGATACACAACTAACCTGTATGTGTTTGTGCACAGATTGGCTGGGACACCTTGCATGAAGAGTTCACACAGCTGCTGGGGTTGGTTCTGCAACGTCCTGTAAAGGATACACAACTAACCTGTATGTGTTTGTGCACAGATTGGCTGGGACACCTTGCATGAAGAGTTCACACAGCTGCTGGGGTTGGTTCTGCAACGTCCTGTAAAGGATACACAACTAACCTGTATGTGTTTGTGCACAGATTGGCTGGGACACCTTGCATGAAGAGTTCACACAGCTGCTGGGGTTGGTTCTGCAACGTCCTGTAAAGGATACACAACTAACCTGTATGTGTTTGTGCACAGATTGGCTGGGACACCTTGCATGAAGAGTTCACACAGCTGCTGGAATCACACAAGAAGAGCAAGGACTATGACGAGGTCTTTGATAATCTCAAAGCTGCTGTGGTGCAGATGTCCAAGCTCAAACATCATTGGGAGAGCAAGGCGGAGGACAGTCTGGTCAGTTATGTTGTCCTCTGTCAGCCCTGTTTTATCTTTCAAAGTGTCCAACATTATTTGGCGTATATTTCACCCATATTTTATATCATAAACTGGAGCCATATTTTGTGACATGCATTTGGTCTGTCATCAATGCCATATGCTTGATCCATATTTGCCCTCATTGAATATTCTTCTTTATAAGCATTTCGAGCCCTTGAGATTCACTGCTGCAGAAAGCTTCTTCTTCTACTTTGCGTCGGTTTCGTATGCTCAGATCAGACCATCAGGTGGGTTGCCTCTATGAACTCGCATGTCAGTAGCGGTCCTTCATGGTTCCCTATAGCTTGCTCTGTACACTGCTCTTGAGGCCAGGTGTCTTCTCGAAGTTGTGTGTAGAGTGGGCAGGTCTGCAGAATGTGCTGAAGTGTTTGTGGTCCTGTCTGACAGGCACACTGTGGGGACTGCACAATCTTTATTTTATGCATGTGGTAGTTGAGCCTGCAGTGTCCTGTTCGTAGATGGAAAATTGTTGTATGTTGCTTTCTGTCTGCTGATGGGGTCTTGTGGATGTTTACTGTTAGTTTGTTCTCTCCACAATTTCTTGCATTTTCCCTTGATAAGTGTTCTGATTTCTGGTAATAACAGTGAATAGGTGTGATGTTTCTCCTTTGTTCCATTTGCTGCAGATATCACCCACCTCCATTCATCTCATTATCTGACTGCTTCCAGATGGTGACCTCAAGTGTTTGTAGATCTGCCTGCATATTATCTCTCCCTTGTCTGTTTGATCTGTCTTGTGGCCTGCTCCTGTTTAACTCTTTTGTGTGTGTAGTTTTTGTCCATGTTATCTGCCGTATTCTCTGTAAACCCTATTCATGGCAGTGTATTAACACTCCTGTGATACCAATAATTAGGTCTCACTGATTATAGTGTGATCAGTGTTCTGGTTGTTTACACATATGAAGCCCCTGTTTTGTCTCCTGGTATTAGAATCCGCCCAGTTCTCTCCCAAAGCTGCATATTAGTGATAGTGATTCCATCATGCTCCACTTCACTCTATCGTGCACAGGCTCTCCCCCGTCAGTGAATGCTTGTAGCTCATTGGTAGCTTCAGTTTTGTATGTGAAATATTCAAGCAATCATGTTTTAACTCATACACGACAATCTTATTTTGATTTCTGGACTGTGTGGGTTTTTGGGGCGCCCAAGAATGGACCCACTACCTCCCTGACAGGCATGTTGTAAAAGGTCGACTAATTAGGGATGTTTCCTCCAAAGTCGGAGTGCATCTGCCTGAGAGGGGTGGAACCAACAGTCTGCATACAGATTAGCCACATCTGTAAAAGAGGTGTGCTCCCAATGTCAAGTTCTGGAACAAGACGAAAGTCCAGAAGTGGACAAACAACCTAAAGTTTTGGCCATAGTTACCAGCTGGTGAACGTAAAGAATAAGAAGATTTTTGCACACACACACAAATCAATAAGCTATCCATGAAAATGGGTTGTGTTATTTTTTGCACACACAAATCAGTAACTAATCCATGATAATGGCTTATGTTATCTTTTACCCAGAGAGTTATCCAGCTGAACACGCTGGAGGACAGGTCAGTGCATGACAAGGAGCAGTGGGACAAGGCCGTCCGCTTCATGGAGGAGACCATGAAGGAGAGGTTGACACAGAGTGGGTTTCATGTCTGTCGTGGAAGTCACCTTCATAGCTATGTCTTGTTCAAATCACCTTCATGTGTATCTTTGAAGTCGCCTTTATGGCTGTGTCTTGTTAAAATCACCTTAATATCTGTGTTTTATTGAAGTCACCTTTATAGCTGTGTCTTGTTAAAATCACCTTCATGTGTACTGTTGGTCACCTTCCTGGCTGTGTCTTGTTAAAATTACCTCAGTATCTTTGGTTTATTGAAATCACCTTTATGTGTATTGTTGAAGTCACATTCATGTATGTCGTTTATTGAAATCACCTTCATGCCTCTTGTTGAAGTCACCTTCATGTCTGTCTTATTAAAATCACCTTTATGCCTGTCTGTTGAAATCACTTTTATGTCTGTCTTTTATTGAAATCACCTTAATTTCTGTTGCTTAAGTCACCTTCATGTCTTTTGTTGAAATCACTCCTATTTCTGCTGTTAAAATCACCTTCATGTCTCTCTGTTGAAGTATCATTCATGTCTTTTGTTGCCATATATCTGCTATTTTGCAGAATTTGGTCTCTGTCCTATAAATAATTAATGTACATTGTAGAAATAAGTAACTTTGATGACTTTTATACAGACAAGTGGGGGGGGGGATGAGTGGTCTCAAGGCATGGTATCTGCCTCGAGTGCTAGAGGTTCCGGGTTCAATCCCCCGGTAAAAGCTAGGATTTTTTCACGTGGACGGACTTTTAGTATTTCCCCCTGTTCTCTGGGTTGTGAGATTGGACACCAGTGTGCATTGTTGCGCACATAAAAAATCCTTTGGTAGTTGGAAATCGAAAAGAGTAGCCTAACAGCGCTGCCAGGGCAAAACTTGTAGATTAAAAATCTACCTAAAAGTATTTCAGATTCCTTGCCGGTGCTACAGAGCCTGTGCACTGTGCTGAGCTTCTTCGGACTCTGAGACTAGTTAGAAGAAGAACGGAGCACTTTTTATAGGTTAGTACCCATGTGCCATGATGTTGATCCGTTGTTTGTTGTAAAAAACAGTTTGATGTTATAACTTTGATCTCTTTTATACAAGTCTGGTGTAGAAAAAAAAAAGTCTTGTCTTTTGTTGTTTTTTAAAAAAGGGTAAGTTTTGTGACTTGTTTTAAAAAAAAAAACCAGACATAATCTCTGTGTTGACAGCGGAGAAGGAGCTGGAGAATTTGACAGGTCCAGGAGTCCTGAAACAATGGTTGACCTGGTCAAGGCGCTCGGAGGAGCATGCTAGAGTCTGGGCAGTCAGGAACGAGCTAGAGAAGATGTTGAGTGCAGATCCAGTAAGTTCATTTTGATTTTAATATTGACAGGCTAAAAAGATCTGAACATCGAGGAAAAATATGCTCATATACAGCATCTTGTTTCTGAAACTGAAATACTCTGACCATATTAATCATCACAGTGGCTTGGAAAGATGAGTAATGGAGGCATGGTAGCAAGAAATAAAGGCAGGGGCTGACCAGCTTGAAGGTGAGCACAGGGGATAAGAAACACCTTGGGCAGGAAAATGCACGAAGTATAAGTGCTGGTCTGTTGTCTCAGGTGCCAGCCCACATGTGCACATAGCTGATTTGTCGATTTAAGTGTTCTCATTACCTGTGTATAAGTTGTTTATAGAAATAATATATTAATTATGTAATGAATAAGCAGTGTACAGAAGTAACCAAGTATAAGCCCTCCACCCTTGTCCCCTTTCCCTTACAGTAGCGGTTCTTAAATATGGGTCACGAGCCTTTTTTGAGTCGAGCGGCCCTTTCACAAGGGTCGCCTAAGACCAATCGAAAAACACATTGTCACATATTCATTTAGGATATGAAAGGAAATTAATTATGTGGGGATCACCACAACATGAGGGAGCTGTATTAAAGGGTCGCCTTAACATTAGGGAACTGTATTAAAGGGTCGCCACAACATGAGGGAACTGTATTAAAAGGTCGCCACAACATGAGGGAACTGTATTAAAGGGTCTCCACAACATGAGGGAACTGTATTAAAGGGTCACCACAACACGAGGGAACTGTATTAAAGGGTCGCCACAACATGAGGGAACTGTATTAAAGGGTCACCACAACATGAGGGAACTGTATTAAAGGGTCGCCACAAAATGAGGGAACTGTATTAAAGGGTCACCACAACACGAGAGAACTGTATTAAAGGGTCGCCACAACATGAGGGAACTGTATTAAAGGGTCGCCACAACATGAGGGAACTGTATTAAAGGGTCGCCACAAAATGAGGGAACTGTATTAAAGGGTCGCCACAAAATGAGGGAACTGTATTAAAGGGTCGCCACAACATGAGGGAACTGTATTAAAGGGTCGCCACAACATGAGGGAACTGTATTAAAGGGTCGCCACAAAATTAGGGAACTGTATTAAAGGGTCGCCACAAAATGAGGGAACTGTATTAAAGGGTCGCCACAACATGAGGGAACTGTATTAAAGGGTCACCACAACACGAGGGAACTGTATTAAAGGGTCGCCACAACATAAGGGAACTGTATTAAAGGGTCGCCACAACATGAGGGAACTGTATTAAAGGGTCGCCACAACATGAGGGAACTGTATTAAAGGGTCTCCACAACACGAGGGAACTGTATTAAAGGGTCGCCACAACATGAGGGAACTGTATTAAAGGGTCGCCACAACATGAGGGAACTGTATTAAAGGGTCGCCACAACATGAGGGAACTGTATTAAAGGGTCGCCACAACATGAGGGAACTGTATTAAAGGGTCGCCACAACATGAGGGAACTGTATTAAAGGGTCTCCACAACACGAGGGAACTGTATTAAAGGGTCGCCACAACATGAGGGAACTGTATTAAAGGGTCATCACAACATGAGGGAACTGTATTAAAGGGTCTCCACAACACGAGGGAACTGTATTAAAGGGTCGCCACAACATGAGGGAACTGTATTAAAGGGTCGCAGCATTAGGAAGGTTGAAAGCCGCTGCCTTACAGCATTAGAAAGTTGCAGGCACAAAGAAACAATCTCATACAAAGCATATTCATTCTCACCCTCTGCTATCAGTGCCAGACATGGTCACTTACAACAAGCCACTTTTAAAAAAATTAAGTAACCATGAAAATGAGATGTCTGAGAAGGGCTGCAGGAACGGCCAGAAGGAATGAGGTCATAAGAGAAGACACCGGCACAGAGCCAGTTGTAAATTATATACAAAGACAGCAAATCAAATGTTTTGCCTGCATATAGATAATCCCTTGTGACAGTATGCCATACACTAAAAGAGAAGGATGTAGAACATGAAGTAGACATAGAACAAGATGGAAAGATAACATCAGAGAATCTTTTACAACAGTACAATGTATCTGTCAGCCAGAAGAGCAAGAAGTAGAAGGTAATTTACAAGAGGAAATGAAGAAGAAGACTAAAGAAGTTTACACAAGTTATGCATTTTTGACATAGTATATATTTTAGATGTAAATTAAATGTTTGTAGGTATTGTGTGTTATTCTTTCTCGCTTAGTTGTTCATGGTGATAGTAATAGATATCTGTGCTAGGTGTCATTACGGGCCCTTTTCCTATCTGTATTCACAGGAGCATAAAGCCCATTTGGCTGCAGATGAGCTGACAACCGTCCGACGGAACTTGATGAATCAGAATGTGGAAGTTGATGGGGAGATGGTAAGACAAATTAGCCATTCACAATAGGGAAATATTATGTTTGACATGGGAAGATTTCCATTTAGCTTGAAATGTTGGGTCAGAGATGTTTCAGCCACACTAAAACGTTACAACGGGTATAAAGCGAGTGGAAGACCTCGGAAAATATGGAGTGATGGCATTAAGAACAGCCTTACAGAAATGAACATCAGTCTTAATAGTGCTCTTGACAGAGCTCATCAATGAACATTACATCTCCCCCCGACACTTCGATGAGGTACAAGGTGGAAGAGAAGAAGAAGAAGAGATGTTTCAACAGTGAGAGGTAAAATGTTTGAGACAAGGATATGTCAGTCAGAATGTTTGAGAGAAGTTTGATATGTCAGGCAGAATGTTTGGGAGAAGTTGGATGTGTCAGTCAGTAGGTGCAACTATTGCAGCTATGCTGTAAATAGGCACAAAACAGTGTCACTCGGATGAATGATAAAGAAACATTTTTGAAACTTAAATATATTGGCTTCAAGAAGTTGAATGTTTGAGCCAGGGAGATTTTAGCTTAGAAATATTGAATACTTGACTAAAGAATATGAAAGGAAACAAACCACCGTCCATCATTGCGGCCCTCAAGTTGCTGCTTTGTGCAAAGTTGATTTTATATTTATATTTGTACATGAAGAGAAATAAACTCTAAATACAAAAGAGTAAAGAAATCACTTTGCTTTTTTTTTTTTTTTTTTTTACCAAGAAGATTAGGAGAAAAGTGACATCATATGTTTATCATGACATCACAAATTATACCTCAGAAGTTTATGTGTGTGTATGTGTGCTAAATGTAATCATTTCCCCCATGTCTAAACACTATTCAGTTTGCATCCGGTAGTAAAGCGGTTATATGGAAGTATTGGCTACTGCCCAAAGACATCATGTCATCAAAAACTCATAAAGGTAGGAAGACTGGCCATCTCGGGGGCGACAGAGTTGAGAATATCACCTGTCTTCTTCGTTTTCTGTACTTACTTATTGAAACAACTGCCCGGCTCTCTAGCGTAGTTGGCTAAACCGGATTGCGCGGCGACCGGGTGACAAACTCCTTGTGGTTCTGGTTCACTCCTGGGGGTAGGCAGAAAAGCCACATTTCTCCCAGATTTACAGTATTTATCATGGAATCAAGGCCAAAGGGTTGCGATATCCATAATACCGAGCCTAAGGGTTAACAACTCATGGTTTCTGGATACTAAAACAAACAAACAAACAATTGAAACAACTGTGACTGTCGATTGTATATGTATGTATGTGTGTGTTTGCACTGTATCTTGTACTGACTGCCATTGTCAGTTGTTGTATATGTATGTGTGTGTTTGCACTGTATCTTGTACTGACTGCCATTGTCAGCTGCTGTTTTGTTGAAATGTTGCTAACAGATCAGGGAGACCTGGTACTATGTCTACCGCCGCCACTTCTACAAGAAAGCCTTCCAGCAGGCCATGGATTGTAAGAAGGGATTCTACTACTACCAGAAAGGATTTCAGGATCAGGAGGTGAGCAGGCTGCTGTGTACGAGTGTTGTTTTAGGATGAGCATGTGTTGTCATTATTGTCTACCTCAGTTTCCATTTTTATCGTTAAGCGATGGGTGGTGGTGTTTGTGGGGTAAGGGTTGCTGTGATTATTGCTTGATGGGTAGCTCTGAATAAGTTCTTTCGTATCGATATAGAATGTCATCAGTCCGTCTCCACCTTGAGTGACCTCTTGCTTTCACATTAGAACTTTTTAGATGTGGCTTTCACACTAGATCTTTTTAGATGTAGCAGCTTTCATACCAAATCTTTTTAGATGTAACACATGTTGGTAGCTGTTGTGGCTGCATACTAGTAAGATGATCAAATCATTTAATCTTAATATAACTAGAGCAAGGTAGGGGATGTTCAAGTGTGTTTTGTCTATGGGAATAGGAGAAAGAAATTCACTGTGAAAGCTCTAACTAAAATAAATTAACAGTGAGGGAACCTTTTCCATCTAAGAGGCATATTGAAATTGGTGCTAATCCATATTTCTAGATTCTAGTCTACAAGTGACTGGTAATTTGGTCAGTATCAGTGGCTTTATCCCACAGGGTCATAGAAATAAAGGCGGCCTAAAAGACACATAGAGAAGGGGGCTAGAGAATGAGTTAACAAGATAGGGAGAGCTGCAGGCAATAGCCAAAGAGAGACCAATTTGGCCTGGTAATTTGGTCAGTATCAGTGGCTTTATCCCACAGGGTCATAGAAATAAAGGCGACCCAAAAGACACATAGAGAAGGGAGCTAGAGAATGAGTTAACAAGATAGGGAGAGCTGCTGGCAATAGCCAAAGAGAGACCAATTTGGCCTGGTAATTTGGTCAGTATCAGTGGCTTTATCCCACAGGGTCATAGAAATAAAGGCGGCCCAAATGACAAATAGAGATGGGAGCTACAGAATGAGTTAACAAGATAGCAAGAGCTGCATAGAATAGCCAAAGAGAGTACAGCTCGGCATGAGTTGGTTGAGGGCCTATGCTCCTTTGGGGGCAATAAAGGGCAGCAGTAGAAAAAATGTCTTGGCCTGCATTTGTCCTAGTCTTGTGACACAGTAATTGTCTACAGTGATTGCTGACATTTTGTTGTTTACTCTTGCTGTTTCAGGTCAACTGTAACGCTGTCGTTTTGTTTTGGCGGCTACAGCGAATGTTGCAAGTCACAGGCAATGCTTTACGCCAGCAGGTCGTTAACAATGAAGGTATTTTTCTCTCCTAATTGTAACAAGTTAACAGTCGGGTAAAATTCATGAACATTTCTGGTTGTTGCAAGTCAACAATGAAGAAAAAATTTCTGATTCTAACAAGTTAACAATAAAGGTAAAATGTTTGGTTTCAGAATGTTAAAAATAAAGATTGGATATCTTGTTCTAAAGATTGTATCTTATCCTGTGTGACATACTGTCTTCCACCATTGTATCCTCTCCTGTGTAACATGCTGTCTTCCACTATTGTATCCTCTCCTGTGTGACATGCTGTCTTCTATCATTGTATCCTCTCCTGTGTGACATGCTGTCTTCCACCATTGTATCCTCTCATGTGTGACATGCTGTCTTCCACCATTGTATCCTCTCCTGTTTGACATGCTGTCTTCCACCATTGTATCCTATCCTGTAAGACATGCTGTCTTCCACCATTGTATTATCTTCTTTGTAACATGCTGTCTTCCAACATTGTATCCTCTCCTGTGTGACATGCTGTCTTCCACCATTGTATTCTCTCCTGTGTGACATGCTGTCTTCCACCATTGTATTCTCTCCTGTGTGACATGCTGTCTTTCACCATTGTATCCTCTCCTGTGTGACATGCTGTCTTCCATCATTGTATCCTCTCCTGTGTGACATGCTGTCTTCCATCATTGTATCCTATCCTGTGTGACATGCTGTCTTCCACCATTGTATCCTCTCCTGTGTGACATGCTGTCTTCCACCATTGTATCCTTTCCTGTGTGACATGCTGTCTTCCATCATTGTATCCTCTCCTGTGTGACATACTATCTTCTAACATTGTATCCTCTCCTCTGTAACATGCTGTCTTCCACCATTGTATCCTCTCCTGTGTAACATGCTGTCTTCCACCATTGTATCCTCTCCTGTGTGACATGCTGTCTTCCGTCATTGTATCCTATCCTGTGTTACATGCTGTCTTCCACCATTGTATCCTCTCCTGTGTGACATGCTGTCTTCCATCATTGTATCCTATCCTGTGTGACATGCTGTCTTCCATCATTGTACCCTCTCCTGTGTGACATGCTGTCTTCCATCATTGTATCCTATCCTGTGTGACATGCTGTCTTCTACCATTGTATCCTCTCCTCTGTAACATGCTGTCTTCCACCATTGTATCCTCTCCTGTGTGACATGCTGTCTTTCACCATTGTATCCTCTCCTGTGTAACATGCTGTCTTCCACCATTGTATCCTCTCCTGTGTGACATGCTGTCTTCCACCATTGTATTCTTTCCTATGTGACATGCTGTCTTCTACTGTTGTATCCTCTCCTGTGTGACATGCTGTCTTCCATCATTGTATCCTCTCCTGTGTGACATGCTGTCTTCCACCATTGTATCCTCTCCTGTGAGACATGCTGTCTTCCACCATTGTATCCTCTCCTGTGTCACATGCTGTCTTCCACCATTGTATCCTCTCCTGTGTGACATGCTGTCTTCCACCATTGTATCCTTTCCTGTGTCACATGCTGTCTTCCACCATTGTATCCTCTCCTCTGTAACATGCTGTCTTCCATCATTGTATCCTCTCCTCTGTAACATGCTGTCTTCCACCATTGTATCCTCTCCTGTGTGACATGCTGTCTTCCACCATTGTATCCTCTCCTGTATGACATACTATCTTCCACCATTGTATCCTCTCCTGTGTAACATGCTGTCTTCCACCATTGTATCCTCTCCTGTGTAACATGCTGTCTTCCACCATTGTATCCTCTCCTGTGTGACATGCTGTCTTCCACCATTGTATCCTCTCCTGTGTAACATGCTGTCTTCCACCATTGTATCCTCTCCTCTGTGACATGCTGTCTTCCACCATTGTATCCTCTCCTCTGTGACATGCTGTCTTCCATCAGTTTGCGTTATTGCTTATAACACACTGGCTATCTCTTGTGTCCTTATATAGTAAACCATCTGTTACAATTTGGTCTATGTTAGTTCTGACATATGTCTGTAATGTTACAGTTCTCATATATATATATATATATATCTGTAATGTTACAATTCACATATGTGTCTGTAATGTCATAGATCCCATATCTTAGCTTGCCACGTGTCAGTCTTTGACTCCACACAAATACAAGATGAAGTGTGAGTAGGCATTACCGAATTGATTTATTGAAACATGTTGAGTGCTGGATGACCAGACAGCTCTTTCTCTTGTCTTAGCTCGAAGACTGGAAAGGATCGTCAAGGAGGTGCTGGATGAGATCGGAGATAACAAGGCCCTGCTCGAGAGTCTGCTGACCGGACGTAGAGTGCAGTTGGCGGAAGAACTCAGTAAGTCTCTCTCTATTTATGAAATAAAATATGCATTCCTGTGCCTAGCAAGGGTCAAATGTGTATCCAAATAGTTTTTGTGTGTTTAAATTTCTATTGTACCCATTATCATCGTTCTGTTTACTCTTAAGTGTATACTGTCATTGTTGTAATTATTTTTACTACTATTACTGTTATGGTTGACCCAGCCTTAAGTGGGTACCGGGTGCAGTCCTGGGAAGTAAAGACGGCCGGTGTGATGCTGATCACATCACCCATCTTGTGCCGATTGGTCTGTAAAAATATAGGTCTAGCCCTATATGCCCTTTGCGCCTAAAGGTGTGGAAAAGGGACCTTTACTTTACTTACAATTACTGTTATTATATTTTTGTGCCTTCATTTATAATTAGTTTAACAAAATTTTACTTTTATGTTTTTACTAGTTATTACTATTATCATGGTTTCTATTATTTTTACTACTAGTATTATTACTGTTATCATATTTTTTTTACTACTAATAATTTTACTGTTATCATATTTTTTACTACTAATATTATTACTGTTATCATATTTTTTACTACTAATATTATTACTGTTATATTTTGTACTACTAATATTATTACAGTTATCATATTTTTTACTACTAATATTATTACTGTTATATTTTGTACTACTAATATTATTACTGTTATCATATTTTTTACTACTAATATTATTACTGTTATCATATTTTTTACTACTAATATTACTGTTATATTTTTACTACTAATATTATTACTGTTATATTTTTCCTTAAATTTTTTTCTCATTCCTAAATTTTATGTTTGGGTATAGTTGTTCGCATGACTAAGGATTTGCTGAAAATTTGCTTTCGTAAAATATTCATTTTTCACATGTGGATGGATCCATACATTGTGCACCAAGTAGCTACAATTTGTTTGTGTTTCAGAGAAAGTTCGCCAGATACAAGACAAGCTGGAGGAGTTTATCCAAGCACTCAACAAGGAGAAGTGATCACCTGTGGTCTGCTAGTGCCCCGCAGTCATTTTGTCATCACAGCCTCATCCAGTGTCACTGTTTGTTGGGTCTGTCGTGTTTATAACAACCTCGCTAGGGGTCCTTGTTTCTTCCTCTGTGTGTGTGTGTGTATATATGATAAACAAATAGACATGTATTGATTGGCACTCATAGATAGAAGTAAACCCCCCCCCCCCCCCTCTCTCCCCCAAGAAAGTTACGTTGCAGAACCAACCCCAGCGTTTTTTGGCTGTTGTAGGCAAATTTGACATTCAGTAGTTTGCCATTGCTACCAGCAAGCACACAGTAAAAGAACTAATGAGTAGTTTAGTTTATTGAAATAAGATGTGTAGGGCTGAAAGGCACAGATATCAAAGTGTAGCTGTAAATCGCAACACAATGTTCCACCTGCCCATTTATGGGCAAACAGAGAAGAAAGAGGTAGAGAGAGAAGGACATACTTGACTTTGTAAACATAGAAACCTAAAGTTAACCTATATAGGGTGACCCATGTCTCCATCCCTACACACATCACCAACAACATTACAAGCACAACTCCAGCCGTGCTTATAGGTGTTCTGTAGTTCTCCAGAAAACGTTAAAGGTTTTTGGTTTAGCACCACCAAATACATCGATTTCAAAATTGTGAGAGAATGCAGGTTCAGTGTAGCCATATACAGATGTGAGTCGTAGACTCTAGCATTCCTTCAGAAAAAAAGGATTTTTAAGCTCAGATGCAATAGAAATATTCTCAGAATACCATAGACCAGTGTTTCCTAAACCTTTCTTAGTCGCAACGCTTTTTTTTTAATTGAAATTTTTCAGCGGCGCCGTAACCTAAGTAAAAGTATGACCATTAGTTTTTAAGAGATTTAAAAAAAAAAACGTGTGTATCTTCGAATATTTTGCAGCGCCCCCGTGAAGAGGTTGCAGCTCCCCGGGGCGCCACGGTGCACAGTTTGGGAACCACTGACATAGACCAAGTAGAAAAGAAATATTAATATCCTTAAAGATCTGAACATGAAGGAAGATTAGCTAATCAACAGCATCTTGCCTAAAAAACGTTTGGCTATAACAAGCACCATGGCTATCCAGCATGAAGATGTGCACAGCATATAAGTGAGACTTTGTGTAGGAAAGCACAAATGAAGTGGGAGAGCTGGTAAGTGATTGAATTACTTACTGGCAAGCCGTGATGTCAGCTACATCATGCAAAAGGAACTGCTGCACGATGATTAGTTATCGAGAGGTTCCTTCTATCTCTCTGATTGCTTCTTTCTGTGAATGCCACCATAACATATCTGATTGTTTATCATATACTTTTTCTGCGGCCTCAAATGTCCCTCATCTGTTATCTCTCTCTCTCTGTATGTGTATGATAGCAGCTTGAGTCGGCTGAAACTTCCGGCTTTGAGCCCACAACTTGTGGTGGGACAACATTGATGTGATATATTTCTTTGCTTTTTTTTTTTTAAACACAATAAAATGTTATGTTGGTGTTTGTATGAATTGTTTGGTGTTTAATTGTTTGTATGTCGGGCAGTAGATTGCATACTGGAGGTTATGTGATCTGTTTAGTGTTTAATTGTTTGTACTTCATACATTGCCTATTAGTGGTTGTATGATTTGGTTGTAATCCTGTCAGCAAATTTTAGGCTTTTTTGTTTATTTGCTTACTGGGACATAAGTAAATTTTCTAGTTCTGCAGAGACAGGTGGAGACCCGCGGAATAAAACCCTGTGCAATGAAATTGTTCCTCACGACTTTACATTATAACTTTAGAATTTTCTAGTTCTGCAGAGACAGGTGGAGACCCGCGGAATAAAACCCTGTGCAATGAAATTGTTCCTCACGACTTTACATTATAACTTTAGAATTTTCTAGTTCTGCAGAGACAGGTGGAGACCCGCGGAATAAAACCCTGTGCAATGAAATTGTTCCTCACGACTTTACATTATAACTTTAGCTAGAATTTGAGCATCGTGCACATATTCAAATACACATCATGTTATGCACCTTAAGCTTGCTAATGGACAGGACAAGATGAATACATTTGGGTCCTTCTCTTGGTACACATGAGGATAAATAGATATCATCCCACAGAATATATTATCTGCATAGGAAACAATATAGAGCAAAATAATTTTAGGTGGCGAGATCTGTTAAGGTGATCTAGTAAAATTGGAAGTTTGAGTCTGAGTATTTATGGATGTAACTTATAGGTTGTCATGCATGTGTTGCGGTGTCGAACTGTTTGGATTGTTTCAATTTGCCAGATTGAAGTTTTTCAGTGTCAGATGTTCTGAATGTAGTATAGCAGCAGACGCATAAATAAACAATGCTCAGTAACAATTCTTGGCTTCTGATTATGTGTTTGTTTCTCATGTGTCTAGACCACTGGTTGGCAAATCAGGGCTCACGAGCCGCATGCGACTCTTTAGCAACCTGAGTGTGGGTCTCTGCCAGTCAGCCACAAATCAGTTTTGACACCGAAAACATGGTTCTTGACAGGTTTTTGGACATAAATTTGGCACTTAAAAAATGTGAATCCTCCTGTTGCTGAGTTTGTTGCTCTTTCGGCTAAAGAGTTTGCCAACCTACTGGGCGAGACCACATTTAACTGAATGTTGGCTGCGGATGTGATCTCTACATGCAGTAGAGAGATCTCTGTCTGCCAGTTATCGCTTCAGTGGAAACCAAGATGCATGGATCAGTGTAGGACACACAACGCACGACAACCTTCATAGAGACTTGTGGCCTTCTCATCTGAAAACCACTGGCAGGGGGAAGAGAAATAAGAACCACCGTGCATATTGGATGTCGTTCTTTGTAATGTATAAAATACATCATCCTGTGTACGTATGTATGATCTCAAAACCATCTGGCTACGTATAATATTATAAACAAATCATATTTTGTTTGTAATTGATTTCCAGAGCAATACCGAACTGATTGCACAGGACAGAACGGACTAGAGGATTAGACTTTAAGCCCTGTGTGACATATAAAGGCACAAAGGGATAATGAATGATAGAGCATGTTGAAAAAGGTGGAGACAGGTATGCTCTGTGCAGGTTGGCAAGCTTCGCTTCAGAGGTCCTAGGTAGTTAGTGTCATGCTTGTGTTTTGGGAGACAAACAGGCAGATAGACTGGCTGGTTCTGCACCACTTGGTGGTGAATTGATGCATGACAAGCTAGATGTTGTAATGGTACTCTGGGAGCGAGGGAACAGAGCAGAGGCAGGCACAAACAGATCATCATAGTCTGAGGAGACAGAACCGTGCTGCGAGGAGTGACCAGTGGATCTGGCCAATACTTAAGGAAAAGGCAAGGCGGAAATGCTATCAGACTATTTCCTGTACCATCAGAATTAAAATTCTGTGCTTGCTACTGAAGATGAGGATGGGGTGCTTATGGTTTATTTATTTTACCCTGCAATACTGAAAATCCGCCCCCACCCACCTTTTTCCAAATAACTCAAAATTTTGCCCGGGCTGTGCTGTTAAGCTACTCTTTTAGATTTCCAACTTCCGATCTTACTACCCAGAGACCAGAGGAAATTACTAGAAGTCAATGTAAAAAAAATCCCAACCCTCAACTGAGTTAAACTCGGGACCTACAGCACTCGAGGTGGACAACATGCCTCGAGATCACTCAGCTGTTTTCTTTGTACCACATCTACTGGCTAAAATAACATTACAAAAGAATATTCATAAATAAAATAATCAAACATAAAAAAAATTAATCATTTTATCAGAATTTTTTTAAAAATAACATAGTGCAGTCAAACACACAATTTGTACTATACATATAAACAGATAGAAGTTGAAACTATTTGTAAAGAATACAAAACATCAGCTACTTCTGAACTCTCAATATCAAGGGTTCTCGCAGCAAGTGTACAAGGAAATGAATGCACAACGTCCAAACAGAAAAATTAAGCAGCAGAAGTAGCCACTATGGAAGCCAGATTTCTTTAGTGTGCTGTGGCCAATAGTAAAATTCAAGTGAACACATTACGTGATGGCTAGGATTCATGTAAAAAGTTATTAGGCATTGCACATTGCGTAGGAGTGAAAGAGTTAATTTCCTCTGTTCCCACTCTGGGTGTCAAGGTAGATAGATACAGGGTTCTGCACTTCTAGCAGCTTCAACCACAGAGGCTTGATAGCGCTGTAGGGTTTATCTAATGTCAACCCTTGTTGTAGATGAACGGCATGCCTCCTGCATACCATACAGGCTAAGACTGGACAGCACACAAAATGTCTCTCTGGGCTGTTTGCATACTTTTCTTTAGTTATGGCCCTTGCATTCCACTTTTTTTTTCTGGCTATTATTTATTTCCTGTATTCACACATGCCTCAGAACTCCAACTGGCCAGACAGATATGTGGATTTTTCTTGGAGATAAACCTAGTTAACTGATTTTGTGTTTGTTTGTAAATGTAACATTGTCTTTTCGTGTCATGTGCTGATGAAGGCTTTTTGTCTGAAACGTTTACTTATTGTTCGTGAATATGATAATATAAATGTGGCTAGTTCTAACTTTCTTGTTTTGCAAACAAACAAACAAATCATCACATTCAACCTGCATCCCCAAAGGGGGGAGCTTTTGGTTATAATTGTGACTAGGTTTATGAGTGCCATTTAAAATGGCTTAACCCTGCTAGCCACCAAGTAACCATGAAAAGGACTCCTGCAGTGTTGATGCGATAAAAAGAGACAGTCCCAAATACTTTTGCGACCGGTGATGAAGTCGTCCACTGGCGAGCCAATGAAGCTAGTTCCAACTTTTTCTGTTTGATTGATACCTTTTCGCAACAAGCCAAAGAAGTGTGTATTTTACAAATGAGACTATGTAATGCAACAAAATCCTTTAGCAGAGGAGGGAAGACACTGCATGAATCCTGTCTGGATATGTTTTAACATATATCTCATCCATCAATACACTGATGTATCAACAGTACAGAGTTTTACATGTCAGTATGTCCAGGCAAGTTTACAATCTCTCACATTTTCTAACACAAATCTTCAACTACTGGATTCATGCAATAAACATCTGCCGGATGTAATAAAAGTCAGCTTAATCAACTGACTTCCTTGATGATGTCAGCTTGATAAAATAATTTTCTTTGTGATAAGGCAATAAGTATAATGAATAATTATTAACATATTACAAAGGCAAAATTCAGTATAAGACAATCGGGTTGGTAATTTTCTGTATGATAATCAGGTTGGCAGGTCATGTGCCAGCATGATAATTATGAAATTCAAAGCAATGTTTTCCCGTTGTAAATTTGAACAAAGAAGACACAAACAATAGATTGCACAATTTATTTCCTGGCAATTTTGAAATTACTGACACATGTCAGCATTTTAAGACAAATATCAGTATTATAAGTCAATTTCTGCACAGCTTTACTATGACAAAATGATCTGTCAGTTTTACCATAGGCCACATTCTAGTGCCTTCCATCTACACACACACACACCACTTAATGAGAAAGATGCCTTGAGAACTGGAGCTCAAAACACAAATGACCCCCATCAGCCTGGGAAATAGAAGACCAGTCATTTGTGTCATGTTACCCAACTCAGTAAAAGAAAAAAGTAAAGGACCCTTTTCCACGCCTTTAGGCGTATAAGGCATATAGGGCTAGACCTATATTTTTATAGACCAATCGGCACAAGATGGGTGATGTGGTCAACATCACGCCGGCCACCTTTACTTCCCGGGACTGCACCCGGGGTACCCACTCAAGGCTGGGTGACCTGAGAGCCAAAGCCATTTTTTTTAAAGTCCGGCTCCGCCAGGGAGCAAACCCATGACCTTCCAATCCGCGGCGAGCAACTAGCCGCTCCACCACAGGGGACTCCCTTACCCAACTTGGCATGACAATTTTGAATGCAGGCATCCCTATAAGGCTTTTCAACTAAGTTAACTCATTAACTCAGGGGTCTAAATGTTGAACCTGGGTATCATCACGGGTCAGAACCTCAAGCTAGAAAGATCATTTTAATACAGTACAACTGGCAATGATCCGTGGGACACTTGCTAGTCTTTTGCTGGGCTGGGTTTGGCCCGACAGTTGAACAGCCAAGCTTTACGGTATGACAAGCAGACAAGACCATGAACTAAGATCTCTATAATGAACCAGAGTTGGCAAGAATGTTGAATTAAGAATCAACATCCCAGCACTCTGGATACTCCCATAAGTGCTCTGTCCCCATCTTCAGCAGCAAGCAAAGAGTTGAAATTCCGATGGTACCAGTAACTATCTGATTGTAAATCCATCTCGCCGTTAACCTAAGTGTCGAGCAATAGCCAGATCCCCTTGTAATTCCTCGCAGTGCCATTCTCCTGAGACCGTAATGATTTTTCTTTTCCTCTGCACTGTTCATTCGCTCCCAAAGGGCCCTCATAACATCCAGCTTGTCATTCATCTTTACGCCCCCAAGTGGTGCAGAACCGGCCAGTGTATCTGCCTGCTCATTTGCCAAAACAACGGCATGACCTGGAGAAAATAACCAAAGGATGCTAACTAACCGGGACCTTTAAAGTAATGCTTGCCACTCTGCACGAAGCATGCCTGTATCCACCTTTTTCAACATGCTCTGTGATTCGGCAAGAGAACCTTGTATATTGTTGAGGTTTTTGATAACCTGCAAACATGCCTTGTATGGTTATTTGCAGAGCTCACTTTGTCTAAGTGTAAAAGAGGCATGATTCAATGAGTATGGAAGTTGGCAAATTAGTGGATGTATTTTTTATACACAGAATTTTAAATCAACTAACACAAATAAGGGAGCCACCATGGTGTAGTGGCTATACACACACCAATGGGCTAGAAGGCTGAGGTTCAAATCTGCACCGTGCTGGATTTTAAAAGCTTGGCTCCAAGGTCAACTGGGCCTAGAATGGGTATAAAGTTCTGGTAAGTAACGGACAGCGGCCGGCATGATGTAGACCACATAATCCATTGAGTGTTCACTGGTCTATTAAATATAAATATGGCACTATAACCAACATACATACAAGTGTGGAAAAAGGTCATTTTGACACACATAATATAAACATATTTTTTTTTTACCAAAGCTGCTACCCAAGCAATTGGTACAGTCAAATTAGTCAGTACAGTCCATGAGTACTGATTAGTGCTACATGATCGATTTGTCGTCATCATTACCATTTAGAAATAGATTCACCCATTAAAAAAAAAAAAAACATTCAATAACAAACACCAAGTAAGAATGTTACGTTTTCAAATATAAAAATACTAGTTGTCTGGAAAATGTAAAATTGTACCTGGTAGTAAAATTGCCAGTTACTGCTTGTGTAAAAACGACAACTGATAAATTGCATATTTATACCAACCCTCTGCTACCAATGCCAAACCTGGTCCCTAACAAGAGCACAGGAGAAAAAGATCACGACGTGCGAAATGAGATGCTTACGTAAGGCTGCCAATGTCACAAGGAGAGACAGAGTTCGAAACCAGAACATTAGATCAATTGTAGGAACCACACCATGCCTGCAATGGTTAAAAAAGAAGCAACAAATAGAGTGGTTTGGCCACTTGATGCGAATGAAAACCGACCAACTGCCTCTACGAGCATACAATGAACAATACTACTGCCCTAAAGCAAGAGGCAGACCGAGAGTACGATGGATAGACAATATATCAGAGATCCTGAGGCAACACGGACTAACAACAACACGTGCAACACACCTGGCCCAGGATAGAAAACTGCGACTTCCCACTACGCTGTGAGGCAATTGTGGACAAGACAAGACTGCTTGTGTTTATCATTTTCACGGTTTAGCATGGAAGTCTGAGCTGGGGGATTTACAGCCACATAGCTAGAGCTGTCGCAGGTTAGGATTCTTTTTTGGGCCCCCGACAGAGAATAATCCAGGACCTTTCTGTGGATTTGAGCCTGTGTCTCTCACATGAGAGAAATGTGGACATCTAAAAGAAGCCCTAAAAGGAACATTGATGAGAGAGTCCAAAGGTGTTGGACTGAATTCCATCCATTATATGGAAACAATTACATAGGTGAGTCAGTTGTATATTTCTGTATCATTCATGTCCCACCTATGTGTGCAGTCATACACACTGTAACATTATAAACAGTTTATGTGACGAAGTAAATGATAGGTAGATAGATAGATAGTTGTGCCCCACCAGGACATCACAGAAACGATAAACACCTGGTGACACAAAGTGCCACTATGCGGATGAGGATCACCCGTGTAGAGGTTCCAAAAACCCCTTTCAGTCATTTGGCCATATCAATGGCTAGGTCATATTATGCTATATTCAGTGCTCCCGGCAGAAGCCAGGGTGGAGCTTCAAATGAAAAAAATTGCATCCCACATGGGGACGACTTTAAAGTAAATAATAGCAATATATACTGTAAACCTTTGGTCAGTGCCTGAGCCAACAATAGCAAACACTTAAGCTAATGCACTATATAAAATTTGCTTTTGTGTAAAATACCTATATATAACAGTTCTAATGTAGATATCGATGGTAAACTTGAGGCATAGTGTCTAGAAGGCCTCTTGATTGCAGGACTTCTTTCTTGTACAACTTGGCATAATATCGATGTCCAGTATCACATAGACATGTAACAATTGTGTGTCCTGGCCCCATCTGTTTGGCTAATTTATATGCAGCAAAAACATTAAGTCCTGTAGAGGCCCCAACAAAAAGACCTTCTTCGTGCAGCAGCTGAAATGTCATGTTCACAGCATCAACATCAAACACTGGAAAGGCATCATCGATTGGCGCACCTTTCAGGTTCTCTGTGAGTCTACCTTGTCCTATACCTTCAGTGATGGAATCGCCAGGTGTGCGTTCTAGTTTCCCGTGTTTAAAATAATTATAAAGCACACTACCTTGAGGGTCAGCTAGAACTACCTGAATCTTGGGATTTTTCTCCTTAAGAAATGTTCCCACACCTGAAAGAGTCCCCCCTGTCCCTGTACCAAATACAACAGCATTAACTTTCCCCAACGTTTCCGTCCAAATTTCTGGACCTGTAGTTTCGATATGAGCCTGTCTGTTTGCTCGATTGTCAAACTGGTTTGTCCACACGGCGTTTTCTAAACTTTCGGCGTATCTTCTAGCGTGATGATTGTAGTTATTGGGATCATCCCATGGACACACGGGAACAGTGGTAACAGTGGCCCCTAGAGTTCTCAGTAGATCGATCTTCTCTTGGGATTGGTTATTGGGCATAAATATAACACACTTAAACCCCATGGCAAGACACATGTGAGCTAGACCGATTCCCGTGTTTCCTGCAGTCCCTTCCACGACCGTACCACCAGGTTTCAGCTGTCCTTTTTTCAAGGCATCTTGAATCAAGAAGTAAGCGGCCCGGTCTTTAACAGAACCACCACCGTTACACATCTCCGCCTTGGCTAGAATCTCACACTTGGTTTCCTGGCTCAGTTTGTTGAGTCGCACCAATGGCGTCCTCCCAACCATACCTACCAGTCCATTTCTGATCAGTTCTTGTGAATAGTTTCTCCTCGAGAAAGAAGAAGTTAAAACCAAAGCACAATTTCGCCAAGTTAACACCAT